GTCAGAAAATTCTAGATGACCTTCTAAATCAATTGACAATAGTTTTGGTAATTTGGATATAACTTTATTAATAATATTATCATTAATGTACAACTGTTCTAAACTATACTGTTTATATTTACGGCCATAACACCACCAAATACGTACTTTTAAATGTTCTAAATTGATTAAATTGTCTACTATAACATCAATAGAACAGGAATATTCTTGCGTCCATGTTTCTAACTCAAATTGTTTTATACTTGGACATATTTTCAATAGTAAATCTACAAATCCATTCTGATTTCTGAATATATTTGTTTGTAACGTTAAATATTCAACAAGTGGAAATGATTTTACATTTGTTGAATCAATTTGTACATCCTCCGATGGTGAGAAAAATGGAGCATGGTTAGCTCTATTATCAGTTATTTTCATGCCACGACACATTTCGAAAAACTTTAACCAATTTCCAAAACTATAAAAACATGACCAACAGTTACTTTGTGATTGAGGACCAACATCAATTGCAAATTTTCTAATAATTTGTCTTGATTTCTCATTCCACATGCTGACAATAGGTAAACGAGCATTCAGAATTAACTCGCGTAGATTTGGTTCGACTGTTAGATCATGAATTAAATCAGTTTCATCATGAAATCTTCCATCTGGTTTATCATTCGAATATGGTGGACTATCAACAATTATTTTTTCTAACGTTTTACCTTGAACTTGTAAAAGTTGTTTTGCTATCTTTAATTCTTCCTTTTCTTTTTTAACAATAATACGTAGATACTTTAAATTTGGTACAAATGTAAATAAATTTGATGTTACTGGCCGATAAATCAGTTTTCTATGAAAACTTGATGCATTTTAATACTCTTCATGAGGAATTTTCATCTCCTGTTCAATATTAAATGTAGTCAAATAATTATAATTAATAACAATTGAATTCCATCTTTGGCAAACATTAGCACAATAACTGAGATCAATAAATGATAAATGTGTGAATATTTGATTTAATATTTCTGTTGGAAAATCATTCAAAAACATGATTATTCTGTTCTTTTACCGTTTAAATTTTGATAGTTTATCTTTTTTGTGCATCAACACACAGGAATATGCAGTGAAAGATGAACCTTTTGAAAAAAATTTTCTTTCATTCTTCATGACACTTATGGTTGAAGGAAAACATAAAAGTGAGCATTAATAGTGGCAAATATGTCATTAGTAGGCAGATAAACAACTTGCTCAGTATACATTCTTTCAAATGCTGGATTTGTTGTAAGATTAGGTCAATGGAAGGACGGGACTTATCGAACATACCTTTTGGCACTGTTCGGAAAAATAGTTGAAGATCTGATTAATCCAAATCATATTGTTTTAAAAATGGATAATGTCGTCGTAGCTAGTTTTGGAGACTCCGTCTATTATACCTTCAGCTTGCAGAAACCTAAAACTAATTTTTTCTAGTGATTGTTAGCAAGTTAAAGAAAGATTCAGGCTTTTAAGCCTAAAATTTGATTTTGAAATTTTCATTTTTGCACTATTGAGTGTAAAATTGAGTGCTTTGTAAAAATATATAACTTGTGAATCGAACTCTCTATATCATGAGCATAGAGCCAAGTCTTTAAACTTCCTTTAAATGCCATAAAAATATAAAATAAAAGTGTCTGATTTTCTTCTTTTACTACTTATTTTATTGGTTACTTATCTTGTTCGTAATGATAAATATTCAACAAGTGGAAAAGAAGACTGATTCTGCGAATGAATTGTCGGCACGAAGATAATGTGTCTCCATATTTCGCGTCACTATGAAACAAAATAATAAGAAAAATCAATTATTAACTGATTTCACTCTCTCTATACGAAGAGCTCATAGAAGCAGCTTCTCAAACTTTTTAAGCGAGAGAGAAAGTAAAATAGGTTTTCGGCAATAATATTGATTCTGCGAAAAGCACGGGGTTGGGTAGCCCAAAGTGTCTACTTTCTAATGACAAAATTTTTCTGTCGATAGGATAGGTTTTTCATAGCTCCTGAGCGAGTTTTCCAGAAGCCCCATAGCAAAAAACTTTGGCTTTTTGCACTTTTATTCCATAAGCGCATGCATGTACCACACATGACCGCGCACATGTTCATTAGATCCGCCACGACCGATAACCGGTAGCAAAATATCGATAAATTATTTAACGCTGAAACAGTTAAGTAAAACGCATTTAACCGAATCAAAACTTTATTTTGCATTTTTCTTAAGACTGCTTTTTAGCTTCAGGGCTTTCGCCATGCACAGAAATTCTCGATAACGATACATTGGAGAAAGTTTTTCTATTTTTTGATTTGTAGATAACACCTATAACTAGGAGTTGATATAGCCCGATTTTTAAATTATCCTTCTATTTTTTATAAAAATGCTGATTTCTAAGCAACTTTGTAAAGATTTTTTTGACTTTAAAGTTCTGTTAAGGACCAGAAATCAGTAAATGAGAAATTCGAAAATCGGACTTTGTCAACTCCCAGGCATAGGTGTTTACTACAAAACAAAGCTAGTCGGAACTCTCTCTCTCATTTACCTGGAGTGAGAATTCTTGTGAATGGCAGACGCCCATTTTTGGCCGTTGTTGTGGCGCCGTCTCACAAATAGTTGCTCGTGACACAAAAAAAAATTGTGTTACCATACTTTGATATGATTTTATTAAATGTTTTTTCTCGAAAGGACAATATGTCTTTGCAAAATTTCAAGTCACACACTAAGAACTTCAGATAACGCAAGTTTTGCATCAAAATTATTGATCTCTTGGCTTTATTTCTCACGTTTTTAGTTTACAAACGTCAGTTCCTTTGCAAGTTGGATCCAGAAAACTGACTAATCTACGCTGTTTACGTAAAATACGATTACACGAGCGAAATTTGATGCCAATCATGTGCATACAGCATTTTGCATTATTTCGATCTATCCGTTTATTTTGTTCGCTTTCCTTCCCCAACCTGTAGAATCATTATAAATGATTCACTTGTAGTAAACTTACGGCATGCACACTCTTAATATTTCACCATCCAGGTAGCATTCAATATATGAATTTTTAACATAATAAACCCGACAATTGCGTCAAAAAGGAAATATAAGAAAAAAGCATTCGTCTTGCGTTGTTTCAACGCAGGCAAAGTTGGAAATAATATGCGTTGTTTATAGCACTTTTCGGTTTCATCTTCAAAATATCATACTACAAATTCTTTGATTAGATGCCGTCCCTACAGTGCGCCTTCGAGTCATCTTTTAGCAGTCGAACCTTCGCTTAGCGCACAAACACCCACCTAAACTCAAATATTTTTCACCACCACACTACCAGTCACACATGATTGTTGTGAGTTATTAAAGGAGAAACATTGTTGACCACATAGTATTTGACAAGATAAGCCACGACCTAACGTGCTCAATCGACCATCTCAGATTTGTCTCAAGATAGGGGCTTAGATAATCAAAAAAATTCCACAGCTTGCAAAATACACATTCGTCGAGAGTTTGATTTTCTAAAAAATGAATTCACATTAGCTGGGAATTCATTTCGCTATGCAAAGGATGATCATAATGCGTATTGATGTATATGATGTGCTTGCGAATTCTCTATTACTTTCTGGCTAGTTCAGGTCATCATCTAGGAGTCATTGCATGAGAGAAACTACAAGTCATGCTGCGGTTTTCTAGAGTCCGCTCGATGGAAAATTCAACGTCTATACATGGAGAGCAAAAATAAAGATTCTGTTTCTACCCGAAGACACGTGATGGAACAGGAATTTTTTTCATCCTATGTGGTCTATTGCATGGTCTAACCAATAATGAGATCAGATCGTTTTTACCTTGGACCTTCAGCCCGACAGCGAAGGTCTTCCGACGATCTTAGAAGTTCATATTGTATGTACCTTTGGGGGCTTCTAGAAACCCCTTAACTTTACCGAAAAAGTTTTTAAACTACATAATTAGATAGAGCACAAAATTCTGAACAAAATGAGCTATTGCTCATAACTTTAGCAATTATTTTAAAAAGGTGAAAAAAGGTTTCTAGAAGCCCCCAACGGTTTTCTAGAGATCCTTACAACATCCCAAACTTTTGGGACCAGATTCGGATAGTCTACACTTGAATGTCTATGAAAAAGTGCATCTCGTTTTATACTTGAGCCACATGCTCGAGAACGGCGTCATACAACCTAAGATCCTTTGAAGACCGTCGCTGTCGGGTTGAAGGTCCGAGGTAAAAACGATCTGATCTCATTATCGGTTAGACCATGTAATGGATCACATAGGATGAAACACACCCTGTTCCATCATGTGTCTTCGGGTAGAAACAGAATCTTTATTTTTGCTCTCCATGTATAGACGTTGAATTTTCCATCGAGCGGACTCTAAAAAACCGTCTGGAACTCAGAAAGTAAAAGTGGTAGAAAGCTCAAAATTTGGATTTGTAGGTTTTTTTTTGACACATGCTGAACAAGACAGGACTGGTTAGACGCAAATCTGAGACATCGATTGAGCATGGTTTTATGGTAATTTATCGTTTTTCTCGTGCAATAGCTTCTAGGTTAGGTAACGATCGATTGCGAATTCTCTATTATTTTCTGACTATTACAGAAATTTAAAAAGAATGCACTGCGGCAAAATACTTATAACTTTTCAACGAAGCAACAAATAATAACAGTCGATAGCCAAAACATTTCTCATCAAAAGCCCAGGCCTTCATTTCCTTTGGTTCCGGAGATACAGACGTTTATCAGATCGTTGCCGGGGGGGGAGATGCCATGAGAGTGAGTCATGATTGTTAGCTAACTTGGATGATGACCTGAACTGAATTCCGTTTCATAAAGACGAAAACTTGTGCTTTTCCCAAGTCAGCAGTCAAAGTTATTTTACTTTTTCCAGGAAAATAAACGTTGTCATGTTGGTCAGGAGTATCGACTATCTATGTATTCTGTGTTTTTGATATTGTCAGACCAGACGACAGTCCAATCATGGTGATTCGATAAAAACCGAGTCCGCTCAAAAACCAAGCAAAACTAACACGTCGCTTAGATCTCATTTTGTAGAAGACACGTCGGACTATCTATCTATGTAGAATAATCAATAGATTTCTACTTTAATTTCTGAAAAATCGGCCTTTGAATTTTTTCGAAAGCAGTTTTTGGTGCCAAAAGGACGTCTTAAAGTCGTGGCTGTATAATGCGGAAAAACCACAGGTTTTTCTCACGTTCTAGGTCTCATTTAGGGTTTTGTCTCACAAAATTTATTCAAACAACCACCGAGTACTTTGAATTTAGAAACGGGTAGTAGTCGGAAAATAATAGAGAACTCGCACACCTGTACTCGTCAGGTAATACTAGAGAATTCGCAATTGATTTTGACTTCAGCTAGTGAGAGAAGAAAATAAACATTGTACGTCTATAGCCTGTATGAAGACATGTTGCATAGCGGAATAGTAAAGAATAACTCAATTCTCCGTGATTGCGAATTTCCCATGATCTCAAAAATTCAACCTTGAAGGCTGCAATATTCTGAGTGTCGAAAGTATCGAGTAATCGAGTCTGAGCATGACTAATGATATCACAATAAATAACTTTGTTGCAACGAAACATTGAGCTGCACTTTTAAAACATCAAAACGCCAAATAAAAAGAAGTGACGCATAGTAAAGTATTAGAAATCCGTTCCACTCATTTTACACCAGTCCACTAATCCACTATATCAAAAGTTTTAATATAATTAAGGAACAGAACAAATGGAAAAGAATAGCAAGTGTACGGGAATAAAGCATAGGATTCATGGTAATTAAAGAAGCTGTAGTGCTGTCCAGCTCAGAGATCTTTCGGTCACATTGAACTTCTCGGGGCCTTCAGCGCGGAAAGAGCTGACATAGATTGTGAGAGGAGCTGTGGGTTATTTGAAAATACTAGAAAAATGTTTTGTTGATTTTCAAAAAACTTTCACTATTTTCAATTTTGAGTGTTTCTTTGAGTATGTGAGTAGTAAAAAACATAAAAATAGAAATGAAAATTTCTGGATACAAGTGTTATAGAACTGTTAAGAAAGTTATGACGAATCGAAAACAGATTTAGAAATATTACTATTAAGTGCATGTTATGCTTGTGAACTGATTGTACAATATAAGGTGCTAATTTAATATGTTTGCAAATGTCAGTTTACTGGCTTGTTATCGAGCTTGTACAATTATTTTTAAAATGGTATTGATAAAGACCTATGTTTAGTGTAATTTCAAAAACATTCAAAAATGACTGGATCTACATCAATCGCTCTAGAAAAATGTTTAAAAAAATCAAAGCTTTGCATAGAAAAAAAAGGTTTTTATTTTTTCTAGTGTTTTAAAAATAAAATGATTTCAGGAAAATTCCTTGATTCGTTCACTGTGCCACCCAAACTGCATTCGACCATGTCTCCCTTAATCCTTCTTTTTTCCTGTACTCGGAATGGAAAAAGCTGAACAAAGAAAATTCGTCCTCGAAAAGATGGCCTGCCTAGTATTATTCCTTAACTTTAGTTTTTTTCTTTCTGTAAAATCTTTGAAACAGATTCTCGTTGAAAAGTATTCATGTATATTTGCTTTTCGCGTATCTATTCAAAATTGAAACAACTGTTTTATAAAGTTTATTTATCACAATAAATACGAATATTTCAGCTTTTTCATTGATCAAGAAAAAGCGATAACTGAATAATAATGTAGCAGAAACTATTTAGGATTTTAGTAGGAAAGTACAATTCTTCAACAGGAATGTCATAGGATTGTTTATATGTTCCTACCTCTTGGGAAATTTCTCCATCCATTACCATTTAGAAGCACTTACAAATGACGTTAGTTCCTTTTTTTGGACTCTCTCACCTCGCCTTTGTAAAATGTCCGTTGCTTAAGTTTAGATCTTTTTCTTTGAGTATTGTTTATTAGCCGTTTTTTTTCTGCATATTAATTATGTTCATAAGCAATAGCTTATTCGGTAATAAAAATACAGTTATCTACAGACACATAATAACAGCGAAAACGTACATCATGTAGAGAACACAGCTCAAAACTATTACAATTTAGCATATCTGGTTGTTCATTTCTACTGAAAATGTACGAAGTGTTTAAGAAATCGCCAAATACAGAAAAATATTTATGCTTACAAACAAATTATGAGATAATAAAATTTTAACGCGACAGTTTTTGTAGGATTGCAAAACAAGCTTTGCTACACGTAAAAACAATATTAACCATGCAAATTCAACAGGACTGTTTTTGGTATAAGAAACTATATAACTACTTGTGGTGTTTTTTTTCGTATACAAAAAAGCTATGAAATATTTTAATCGAACGATGTGAACGTGCAAAAAAATAGGAGAAAAATCAGACTTAAAATACTTTTTTTCTAGAAGAACAATTCTTAACCATGTCAATAAATTCTAACTACTCCTCATTAAAGTGCAAATTTCTGCGAGTTTAGATAGCTAATAAAAAGTGTCTTGAGCAAAATTTATAGAGGAGGCAGAAAACTGAGTCAGAAAACTGAAATTAAAATTTTTATATAGAAAATTAATTTTTTCTTCGGAAAAAAGTCAGATTTGTGATCAGCATGAAAAGCTGCGTCTAGTGATAAAGGAGAAAAGAACAGGCCGATGAAAAACACGCGCACAAGCGGTGAATATGAGAGGAGAATCCAGAGTGTACATGCACAGTAATTAACAAACTGTGTCACTGTTATGTGCAGAACAAGCAAAATAAAAGTACTAAAATTATTGCCGATCAAACAGAAAAGGTCTCATGCAGCGTGTTAAAGGAAAGGTGAGTATTTTTCTGTTTGATATATAAGCGACAGTTTTGTAGGATTGCAAAACAAGCTTTGCTAACAGGTAAAAAACATATTAACCATGCAAATTCAACAGGACTGTTTTTGGTATAAGAAACTATATAACTACTTGTGGTGTTTTTTTTCGTATACAAAAAAGCTATGAAATATTTTAATCGAACGATGTGAACGTGCAAAAAAATAGGAGAAAAATCAGACTTAAAATACTTTTTTTCTAGAAGAACAATTCTTAACCATGTCAATAAATTCTAACTACTCCTCATTAAAGTGCAAATTTCTGTTTGATATATAACGCAGCGATTAGAACGAAGCGAATGTAATAGCACCTGAATCATGTCGACTGCACTCTTCTATAGTATCTTCTCCGTCGCCGTAATCCTTAGTCCACAGTTAACTGTGACAGGTAGATTGATTGAACTACGTAGATATTATTGTAAGAATTTCCACGAGTGATTTTTCTTTGAAGGACTACAGTGCCGTTGTCTCTCAAGCAATTCGACCTGCTGGCCGAGTTTTTCTGCCTGGCAAACATTCAATCAATCTGTTAACGGACGCCTTCTCTCAGCACAACCATCGGCTGCTGTGTGTGATACAACCTGGTCTAATGAAAATGCATCTGCTGCAGTTAATGCTCAATGGTACAATGCAAATGCATGTGCTGTAGCTACTGCTCAATGGAACAATGCATCGTGGCGTAGTGATCAGGTGGGTGCCATGCAAAATGCCAATTGGGAAAATAGTTCATGTTCAATTTATATTATTACGAACTCCTCATGCAATCAAGGATCTGTGCCCATACTGGCTGTGAATGCCACATGGCCTGAACATGTTCAGACAACTGTAGAATTTGCCAGTGCAAATAATCTTCGTTTGGTCATCAAAACGACAGGACATGATTATTTGGGTCGATCAACAGCCGCTGATTCTCTTCTTCTCTGGCTTCATTATATGAAAAACATGACATTCATGGAAAATTTCACAACGTGTGATGGTTCTAATCTGTCGAACGCTATTCGTGTCGGTGCCGGTGTGCAATGGGGTCAAGTATACGCATGGCTGACTCAATACAATTTGACGGCGATCGGTGGAGCAGCATCCACTGTGTGTGCCGCTGGTGGTTACTTGCAAGGGGGTGGTCATAGTCCATTGTCACGTTGGAAGGGCATGGCTGCGGACCAAGTACTCGAATTCGATGTTATCATGGCGAATGGACAACGACAGACAGTAAACGCCTGTCAAAATACCGATTTGTTCTGGGCATTACGAGGTGGAGGTGGTGGCACTTTTGCTATTGTACTCTCAGTCGTCCTACGAACTTATCCATCACCGCCCCTCGTGGTAGGTTTATACAGTATCACCGCATCTAATGGGACCACCTACAGTAGTTTGATTCATAACTTTATTGGATACTTACCCACACTGGCCGATCGCGGATGGGCCGGATATTTCAACATGAAAGATACCAATCTGGTGATCTCATTCATTCAGCCGTATGGAAAATTGACTGAAGCCTATGCAATATTGCCCTATCTATTAACCAACAATACAGATTCACAAATCAATTACAATTTCACCACTGCTGCACCCTCATTTTACGATTTTTTTATCCAAGTTCTTGCACCGGGAAATCCAACAGGTTACAATGTCTTGCTCGGTTCACGTCTCATACCGGAAACGATTGTTCGTAATCAATCATATCAACTCGCTGAAACATTCCTTCAAGCCAACGGGTTAAGTCAAACTGGATCGACTCTTTTGGGACATCTGGTAGCTGGTGGTCAAGTGTCTAATGTATCAAGCACGAACAATAATAGTGTTAATCCAGTCTGGCGCACATCTCTTCTTCACATGGTTTTCGCAGTAACATGGCCCGATGAAATATCCGAGTCTCTTCTACAAGAGATTCCTGCATATGTCAGAAGTCAAGTAGCAATCTTACAAACAATGGCAGGTGGTTCACAATCTGGCTGCTATTTGAATGAAGCCGATCCAAATGAACTCAATTGGCAACAGAAATTTTTTGGTACACAAGCCAACTATGATCGACTCAAATCAATCAAACAAACAGCTGATCCACTCGGATTATTTGTCTGTAAGGATTGCGTGGGAAGTGATGATTGGTCATCAGATCTCAATTGTCTATTAACATCAAGTGCTACGAAAGTCGGAGTAACAATCATGTTCGCCATAATCGAAGTTGTTGTATTGGCACATTGAAACATCGACAGAAACGAAATTCAAAGCATGCCAACAGATCAAGAGATACAATGAAAATGAGACACTTTCTCTTTCTCTATTTTATTCATTCATTCGGTCTTAATCGCTTTTACTATCTTTTTTCAAATAATAAGATGCAACACAAAGTTCTTCAAAAAATAATATATAAATTTCATCTCGGTCCTTTAGAAATATAAAATGTTCCTAATTAAAAATGGTACCCAGTCGGACAGAGATGTCGAAAATATGGGTTGAGTAACGTTACTAGTTACTGTACAGAGTAAATAAACTGTCTGGTAAAGTAAATGAGCCACCTAGTCGAAAAATCACGAATTGTGACCCAAAAGGGTGATTTTTAGTTGATTATTTAGCGTTTCTTAGGTTCGCTCCAAAATCGCGCAAAAAGTCAACTTCTTTATGAAATTTTCTATTTTTCCATTCGATTGAACGCTTAAATATTCAGTGTTTTCAATTTTGGCCCAACACGATCAACATGATGTGGCAATTGAAAAACGTCCAATTGCTCCCAATCATGTCAAGTTTCACATTTATTGCATACAATTACATACTTGTTTCACTCCTTCTCTTGTCGCTTAAAGAGCGGACGTATCTTTCTTTCTTCACACGCACGCATACATACGTTACAGCGTTACGTGAACAGACACGTGAGCGAATAGGTCTGATTTCGTACACGTACCAGTGATAATAAGCGATAATTTTGGCGAAAATACTGGCCTCGACCATGGCTGGTCACTCTCAGGGGCCTAACCTTGCACAGAACCATGGTTCTTTCCTTACCCAACACGGGCATGGTTACGCTGCTTCATGTCATGTCACGAGGCATCAGACATCATGAATGGGGCAAACTACACGATGTATCCAGTATACTATGGACAAACCGTATACCCTGGCTTTATTCGAGTCATGATTATTCTCTTCGTATGCTTTCGCGCTCTCTCTCTCGACGAAAATATACACAACGAGGATACTTGCACAGACGATTTGACACTTACGACGATCTTGTGCAATTACATGCCAAAATAAAGAAAGCCAAGGCACACCCTAGTACAGTAAATAAGAGTGTTAAATGATGAATAATAACTACTCATCCATTACCGCTATATTCATCATTGTATAACGAAACATTCATGTCTATATAATCCACGTACTAGTTCAGTTAGATGAAACTTTGATACTTTTTTCTTTCTGTGCACAGATATAAAGTTAGAAATGGAGAAAAGAACGAATTTTATCATTTTATCCAAAAGAAGGATTGCACTCACTATGAAATTAGTGTTTATTCTGGCAACTTCCCAGATTAAAAAGTTAACAAATTTGAAGGGACCCCTCGCCAGTTTTTCTAGCAGTTTGAAATACACAAGTTGTATTCTATGCCGAGCTGTTTTTTAGAAAAGCGTACAGTCTACTTTTTGAGGTACACAGCTGTCAATGGCGCTGTCAGTGCACCTTCTGTGCGCATATAGAAATCGATATAAAGCAAGAAACGAAGAAAAGAACAACGGAAGAAAGAAAGAACGGCTACTGGAAGTCGGTATCTATTTCAATATATCAAAACAAACCAAAGAAAATAAATTCAATGGAAAAAATTAGTCCTCTCAAAGTTCGATTCTGATAATGCCTTGCTCAGATACATGTGGGATTGTCACATGGCCATGAACGACGTAGTGTTTGCGCAGTATAATGAGTGCATGTCCGGTTAGTGCTACCAGCACTACCATGACCTGGATGACATGGACCATAGGTATCAATCATTGAAGTGAATATAGTCTGATCAATAGGACCTTCGACATAATCGTGAAAATCGAGGTGCCCTGTATCCAGATCTTCTGGAAAACGTACAGGAATATGCGAACCCGCTACAGTGTACATATTGCGGAGATTTCGTATTGGACCTCCACCAGTAAAATTGGAAAACTAAAATTATCAATACAAACTTAGATAGGATGCATCCAATGAACAGATAGAGACACGGTATCGAACAGACGTCGTTCGTAACCAGTTCAATTCAAGCAGTTTCTGTTTGTAGCTGAACTGGGAATTAAACAGCGAAACAAAAGAAACTCCAAATAGTTTGTTTATGTAAAATGGCAGTGAACTAACGCTTTTGAAATTGATATGAAGAAGTCTCAAGCTTCAACAACAAAATATCGTCGACACACTGTGTTGAAAGATGCATCAAATTTTTAATATCGCATACTGACGTAGTTAATCGTCAGATAGAGCGTCAGAAGATAATTGGAACGCATTCATTATTGATAAGTAGATCTTGTTCCTCGCCGGAGAAATTGGACTTCCAAAACTCCCTAAAAATCGATTTTTTTCAGAAAAGTCTCCTATGCGAAGAAAGCGCCGGAGAAAAATCTCTCCACTTAAGAAAATGTTTGTCTCACTAATAAGTACCTACCCTAAAAGTGTCAGTCTTCCATCAGTTAAAATGACCGAACGGTAGAAATATGGTTTGGCTGGGAATACTCTTCGAGTCGTTCGTCCGAAACCATGATAGCGTCATTTTTCAAAAAAATTGGAACTAATTTTTGGATTCAGGACATCAAGTTCTACTAGTTCTAAAAGTCTGAAACTGCTGGGATGAAGTCAATGTAAACTCTGGTACGTTTCTGTGAAAGAACAACGATAAACTGTATGTTATTCAAAATTTGATTTCTCTGCACAAACACATCAACCATCGCTCATTCTTTCAGAATATGTTAAGCTAACTCTCCTCGTCAATTTGAGACCAAAACCAAAAAGATTTGAGAGGGTAGAGAGAAGTTATAGCATCTGCAACGAAAAGTACTTTGGCTGAAAAAACGCTATATAGGCGCCACTGTCAACGTAAAATAATTCTATCTAGACTAGCGTATGACCTTTTGAGCTCGGCTCTTCGATTTTGTGTTGTATAGCATGGCCTCTACTAGCCACGTATAGTGGCTGAACATGCACAGATACTTTAGTATAACATGGTATGTTTCATATGGATTCACTCATGTGCTCTATCAGAATACTACAAGAGATTTTTATTATACCGCATATCTTTCATGAAGAAAAACTTTCAAAAAGGGATGATGAATTTGCCCTGCCCAAAATTATAGAATCACTTGAAAACCTCTTTTGTTTTCTCGACTGTTCTGTGTTTCAATGTAAAGATCTTCATCAGCAAAAAACTGGTTAATCGTAGCGTTATATTGAGACCACCAACGAGACCAATTTTATTGTGATTATAATATATAGTCATTTTGCAGTCGACCGACCTCACTGTTGAGGTATCGCTGTGCAACGGTGGAGTAGAGTAAATATGAAAAAAATATACTGTTCCACAGCAGTAAACCATGGAACTCTTGATTGGTTAAGTGTTCTTTTTAACACACAAATGCACTGTTTTTCTATTAATTTTTTTTCACACCAAATCAATAGCATCAATAGCTGTAATAAATAGTATTTATTTGCAACAGATTTCATTGAATAAAATTTTGCTATAGAAAAGATTGCTTCTGACGACTAAAAGCTATGACGTCACCGACCATGGCGGTAGGTTCATAGAGAGTTTTCTTATTTTTTGATTGAAAGAGCATATCCAGCTCTAGGGAGTGACAGAGCCTTTTTTTTCAAATTAGGCTTTTTTTTAATAAAAAAGGATCTCTGGAAAACTGCCAGCAGTTTTTGCGAGGTATTAAACTTCTAAGCCCTCTCCCCCCGCAAGAAAAGCAAAAATTTAAAACGGGGCTATGTCAAGCACTAAAGGTGGATGTCCTCTACCGAACAAAACTAAAAAATTGTCTATGATGAAGCCTCTACGAAAATTCTTGTTTCGAAAAAAGGCTATTTTTTACCCTTAATTTCGGAATATCTTGGAAAATAGTGATGATAACGGTTCGAAACTTTTATCATAGTACCTCTATACCATGACCAACATATCCTGAAAAGTTCATGTAATTTCATAGCGAGGAAGCTGAGATCATATTTTGAGCGAGGGAAGCCCTTAAAACGTGTAATTAAAGAAAACTCATAAAAATTCGATGCTTTTCTTTCGCTTTCATCTGCTCGAATGTCCGTCATTTGCAGAATCAAATGTTATAAAAGAACTACTCAACATAATTAACTGATTATTAAAGGTTCTGACAGACTAAAATTCTCGTGGTAATTCTCAAAATTCCTGTGGAAAAGTAAGATTCTCGTGAAGAATGTATTAGGGATGTTCTCAGTTCCTCGCACCCAAGTAGAATTCTTGTGTAAGAGACGGAAGTACTCGCGTACACAGACTAAAATTCTCGTGTTAATGCTCAAAATTCCTGAGGAAAAGTAAGATTCTCGTGAAGAATGTATTGGGAATATTCTCAGTTCCGCTCACACAAGGTGAATTCTCGTGTAAGAGACTGAAATTCTCTTTGAGATTGCTGACGTTTACGTAGTCATCTCAAGAATCACTGATTAACTTTTAGACATTGTGCCGTCTACAATTGTTTATATTCTACACTACTGTATCTGAGTGTGTATATGAATGTTTAAGAGAAGTTTTCATAAAGGAGTTCGAACACAGTGTATACGGTCTGCGTTACGATACCGTAAAGAAAACGATTAAAAACCCACAAACGCTCCATAAACCATCTGTAATTGTACAGTAAATGGATTGCTTCAATCGAATTTCGACGGAACGTCTTAAATGTACCGTCTTTTAACCGTTTCCTGCTATATACAGACGGTTGGCACTATCCAAAAGAGGTGGGATCGATTCGGTTCGAAAAAACCGCGAACCAGTCTCACCTCTGCTATCCAACGACATCTGGCATATATAAACTTGCCATTCCAGATTTCGAATTTTACTTGCAAAATATTATTGAAATCAGAATGCCAATGTCTTATTGAATGACCGTGAATTTTAATTTGTCTGGACTAAACTTCAGTTCTTAGAGTCCTTTGCCACCCTGATCGTATCCGACAGGAGATGAAACATTTATCGTATCAAATAGTTTGAAATAGGAAAATAATCACTAAATAACTTACCTCAATGAAGTTTTAACTGGAGAAAGACTCTTTCCGTGTATGTTCCAATACGAGACAAATCTAAAACACATTCTATGATCAATAACCCAAGTAAAAAATCTTGACTGCAGATCTTGATAAAAACTTGAAAGATTTCGGAAGTTTCTGTTCAGTTCTTTCAAGATCTTATGCAGATTTATCGATATCTGTCAAGATTCTGAGATCATCTTGC